ATTATTATTAAATTTAAAATTATTTTTATGTACTTTAAGTAAAATAAAATCATTTCAACTAACATCAAAACATCCTACAAAACATAGAAAAAAAATCAAATAATTTTTTTTTTTAAATTAAAACTGAGTGAGCGGTAGTAGGTGAATTTTACTCTAGTTTATTGGTCTAAAAATGTCTGTTTGTCCGTGACAATGGCCGTACCAGTGGCGTATTTAGGATTTTTTGTAGAGGGCGGATGACGAGAATTTTAGCGTACAGAGTCTTATATTATATATTATAATATAATTATATAATAATACACACATGTATTCAAAGAGCCATGGGGGCGGATCTGGGGACAGATCCGCCCCCGTAAGTACGCTACTGGGTTGTACTCATTCGCTCTAAATGGATATCGGGCAATCGATTAGTAGAAAAGCCTTGTCATTATGGTAGCCTTTAGAAAATGAAAAATAATTTTTAAATTGCACAAAAAAATAAAAAAATATTTTAAATACGGTTTCCAGCTTTTTATGTTTAAAAATTTGATTTGAGACCACAATTGTACTGTAAGCCCGTAATTTGATGCAAGGAAGTAATTAATGATTTTGTGATGAGATAAGTTTTCTTGAAAATTTCCTTCTTTTTGAAAAAATGTTGATGGAGGAGCTGATTTACGCTTTTTTTAACGTTTGAAATCTCCTAAACCCGGATGAAAATAATAATTGACCGGGCGTCGTTGAGTGGGATCGAATTGCTCCTAATCTAACTGAATTGCAATGCTTATATAGCTAATGGCCATGGTATAATACAACTGTTAAAATGTGAATGCATAACAAATTTAGAATCTCTGAAGAGATTTCGGTGGACCGCGTAATATTCGTATTGAACGCCAAAACCAATACTCTGATACATTTACTGTTTTATAATACAACTGCTGCAGTGTAGATAAGTACTAGTTATAAAGTGTTTCTGGCACCAGATCAGCTGCTGATATTGCAATAGATAATAATAATATTAAAATATTAGTAACATTATATTGTAATATCAGTATTTTATCGTGCGATTCCTCCCCAAACGTTAGTTGAAAAAAGCGGAAGTATTTTTTTTTTTTTTTTTTTAATATCTACGGCTTTGGTACGACAGTCGTCGTGGTTTTTTATATTCATGTTTGGATAAAATTCTCTTTAAATGTATTTAAATATCCAAATACACATACAATTCGTATTTCAAATACTTATTTGAAAATAATCTTCTACGAAAAGTGGAAAGTGTTTTCTTATACGAATAGTATAAGAAATACATTCTGATCTGCTGACATTTCCGAGAAAACGAAAAATTACGGTCAAAAAGGGGTGAATTGTTAGGAGTTTTAAAAACATATTTCCAATCAAGTATTATCGGGTGAAAATCTTTTAGAATGATATTACCTGGAGAAGTCTGACCATTGTGAAAAAAAAAAGACCGTATTTTAGAGTTAAATATTAAATAACCTAAAGTGATAAAACGAGAATGAAAAAAAGTATAATTTCGAAAGGAATTCAATTCATTTTAAAACATTTTGGAATACAGCCTGAATGCTTCCAAGAAAAATTATTTTTAAAATATTTAGAAAACTTTATCTTGACTACCCATGCCTAACAATATTTATTTCTGTAAAAGTATAATATTATGTCAAGGCGCTATTGGTCGTGCGGTATTCAAAACGAATGGGAGACTTTGTGTTTACGACACACGAAAATGTCACTAATATAATGCATCATTAAAATTCACTAACACATTTAAAAAATATCTTTAAAATTTAAAATAAATAAAATAATATTAATTATTCTCAACCATGAATACATGATGCAAATTTGTAAATAAACGACCGTCATACAGGAAGTGTTAAAAAACAATGAAATTGCAGTCATAGTTACAACTTGTACTATACATTTATAATTATATATACTAAGCAGTGGCGTAACGAAAATTTCTTTTGCCCATTGCAAAATAACCAAAAACTGAACGCAGTCTTGTTTTTTTTTAGTTTAATCAGCAAATATTTGATAATCTCATAATAATGGGTCGCGCAAGTGTTTTTTTTTTAAAAAAAACCACACTTTGAATTTGAATATACCAGTTATTTTAATACTTTATATTTTATATTATAATTTTAACTGTATATATAATACAAATATATCGCGTTATTAAAATTACGCAGTCTTTGATCGACTTCAAAGTTTACCATATATAATTACGAGTTGTTATGTCTTTCTTAGTTTCTTACACCGTCATGGGATTATACTCGTATTATTATTATTATTATTATTTGAAGGTATAAAACGGGATGTTAAATAAATTACTATAAATACACGCAGTTGATGTACTTGCCTACATATTGAATGTTCGAGCATATAAAATGGTTGGCAGAGGGTATGATAATATTATCACGCGAGAGATTAACGCGAAAGTTCTTACACAAGTTCGTTAACCATGTCGTGTACTAATATACTAGAACTTGATCGGATGCAATTTTCGAATTATTACCTACGTCGGAATTTATCATAATGATTATTATTATAGTTGCATTCGGTGTTTGGATAATTTCCGTAACAGAAAACATATCGAATATGGTAGCTGCTGATCGTCAGTGTATATATTTTAAATATCTAGATAATGTTAGAATAATTTTCTGAATGAAGAGGGAAAAAACCTAATTTTTTTCGTTACCTACATATTAAAACATTTAGTACTACTAAAAGGACTACCAGATTTAGTTCACATATAAATTTGCCAAAATATAAATTATAATAATTAATACAAATTGAATACTTTGCCTATTATATCGAATAAGTTTATAAATAGAGCTTTAATAATAAATTTATTTCGATTATTTAATATTATTGTATCTCAGACACCAGTTCAAATAGCTTATTTCTTTTACATCTAGATAAGATAAAATGTAAAAAGATCTAAATAAAACACAATAAGGTTCAAGACACGAAACTTCGTAATACAATTTTTAGCATAATTACAGTTTGGGTGTACATTGGGCATTATTAGCTCGGTAAATATTATTACTAACAAGGCGTCATAATTATAATTTTGCGTAGGTACCCAAAATTCTAAAAGTCAACTCTAAAATTATTATTCGGTAACTTTGCGAGGCTTATACATCAGTATAATTATCACAATAGAACTGTAGACCGCGCGAAAATACTAATATTATAACAATCAAATTAATAATGTAAACGACGGAAATGGTAAAATTTACAGTTTCTACGTACCTATGAAATATTATTATGCGTTGATTCAGAGGTTTGCATAGTATTATTATTTGTATTTTACACGTACGAACAAGTCTACTTTTGCAGCCCAACTATTCACATTTAACCAGCTATACGATCAAAGGCAATTTAATAGTTTAGTAATCGAATTACCTCATATTAACTTTATATGCATATTATACAATAATATATGTTGTACTGCGTTTAAATGTGTATTCGGTCAACAGCTCTAAAATGCCACTAACTAAATCTCACTAATCGTCTGATTAGGTTGAATTATTAAGCATACATTATGAATTTAGTCTTCAATAAGATAACGGGAGTTGGAAGATTTAAAACAAAATTGTACACGCTAATATAAAAATCCCTGTTACTATTTTATCATTCTTTTATTGTGAGCTATACCTTTTAAAAATTTGATATTAGTGATGAGATATTGAACAGCCGTTAATTAAGGTGACGATTTGTTTACATATGTTTATTGTGTACACAATCAAGTTCAACTAAAATAACGGTAAATTATCATAATACAATAAATAGTTTAACTTAAAAATTAAACTTCACGCCTAAATGTACTCAACCTCGAAATAGCTAATGTCGACTTTGACAAAAGAAAAGGTTGTACTAATACAATTGTACTTAATTTAATGGAAAGCACTTTGAATAGGAATATTGTTAGCATCAATGAAATAGCGAAAATTGTTCGATAAAAATAAACATTATGGTTACATTCTGATCACACCTTATGTATGTATAGATCATAATATAATCATTATTATTATAACAATAAAAATATCATTATTACTTTTTTTTTATGTATATAATAATATAAAATATTATCTCAAAGTGAGATATTGCATTTTTCTATATTTGTTTCTTTTCGTATAGTATTGTTCATGTTGTTTTGTTGAAATCAAATAATGGCATTTCGATAATAACGTATTAACTAGTCAAATTTATAATAAAATTACAATTCATGCGGATTATGCCTAATAAGAAATTCAAAATTAAAAAATCAAAAAGACAAAATGAGAAAAATATTATAGCTATCTTTGATGTGTATTTATTTTTTTTTATTTTAGCCTTATTTTTAACTTTAATAGTTAATCTGAATGTTTTTTCCCTTATATGCCTTATTACGCAAAAGTATAATATAGTTATAAAAAGTGGAGTGTTATATTGTGTATTGTTTATTCAGATAGAGTGGATTTTTACCTTGTAACATACCGAAATATATAACAGTTCCATTTGCGATACATATTTTAAATTATCCATATAAAAAAACAATTATTATATAACTATTTTTAATAAATATATATTTTTTATTAATTATACTTAAATCATTTTTTATTAAAAAATTAGCATTCAAATTTTTTATATACATAATATTTTAAATGTTCAGGTAAAAATATTTTGAAATGCTATAATTTCTACGATAATTGTCAAAATTTGAAATTAATACGATAATTTTTTCTTAATAAATAGAATTTTTGAAGGACCTCATCTTAAAATTTCAAGCAGTTTTGCGCGGCCAAAATAATTTTATCCACCTATAACTTATAAATTATAATAGTTTTTTGATTATTTATATTCATCAAGATACTAAGCATAATGTAATTATTTATCGTTTTATCTTCATCTCAGTAATATATTTCTATTGGTCCTTAGGTACTATATTATTCATTATCTGAATGGTTCAACATTTATATTTTCTTAAAACACTGGTTATATGCATAACACTGTAGTAAATTCCATTAATACTGTACGGAGAACTACCAGCCTACTTACTGTTATTTTTATTTCCTTTTATGGCAGCGGCAAGCACAATAATAACTTCATAAAGAACTTGAAAACATTTATTTAAAAAACTTTGTTTGCCCCGCTGCACCGTATTCTACGACAATGACGCATACACCTTTTAAGAAGTTTTTGATTTAACTTGAAATTTATTCACGGGTACTGAGTCAAAAATATAAAGTTTGAACAAAGCGGGCGTAAAATAACTCATATGTTAATAGATACAGCGGTATTTATGCATCGGAGCATAATTGTTAAATTTACTGCATTAGCTTAAGCACGTAGAATAATGAAAATGTGTGGTTTCATACTATAATGCTGTATTATATTATATCGTTTAGGTATAATATTATTTAGTCATCACTCCACAATGATGAAAATCTTACAACTGTTCCATCGGTTAACAACTATCTATGCATAGAATGTATTATTTTTTACTTTTTTTTACGCCATATTTTGTAAAATATCGAAAAAAAAAAAACCCGGACATATCGGTGTCATAAGGATAAGTTACTATTTTAGTTTGATGGTTCGGAAGGTACAGTACGTAGTATGTTAATTTAGTTAATATAATGTATGGAACAATAAATCATTGCAAACTAATACAATTCTGAGTGGATAAATATATTGTTTAAATTTTCTCCTATGTTGCCAAGGCATAACCCAGAAATCAATAACAACCAAAACAAGAAACAAGGGAATCGACTGTTAAAGTACTCCCATAAATATTTTTGAACAAAACATTATCAGAAAGTAAACATATTTGAATGTTGTACATGGAAAATCGAAAATAAATAAAATTCTTAGAAAGTGTTGGGGATTCTGAAATATTTTTTAAATAAAGCATGGTCAGAAAATCAATCTGCATCTTTGGAGGTATACATTATTATACGGCATGATAAAGCAGACCATTTTTGCTCAACATGTACTGATATGCTAAGTTTCATAGAACAATTATTTTCTGAAGAAAAGAAACACACGTTGAAAAACTAAAATAGTTTTACAGTTACACTCAGAACAAAAAATAATCGAGTAAAAATTTAGTTTGAAAATATTACTAATATAATTTTAAAAAAGAGACGGCGTCGTGTGTAGGCATATTTACTACATTCACGTAAAAAAAAAAAAAATTGCCTATATTAACGATCAAGAGACAAAACTAAGTTTAAAAATTAATAAATTAAGATAATTTAAACTTTTTAATACAAATGGCTCTTAATATTTGATTTACATTAACATATAAATAACTAGTTAATTTTCAATTATAAGTTAATTAAAACAGTTGTTACTTTTTTTTATATACATTTTAAGACAATCTTTTTTAAAAATTATAACACTTTATATACCATTGTGTGAAATTAAAAGGTTTTAGCTTAGTTTTTTGTTTGAAGTGTTTTATATAATATGTAAAAATAATCTCGAAAAAAAAAATTGAAAAGGGTGACGTCACAGTGGGCCGAAAATATTTCCTATAATTTTTTTTCGGGTTTTTCATTGTTTTTTATTTTAATGTAATTTCTATGGCATATAATTCAGTCTCACAATAAGGTTATTATGTGTAGGATTATAGAATACACTATGTGAATAGGGAAATTGTGACCATATTATGGACCTAGAAATTAAATCGAATCGTTTAATAGTAGCTAACTCAAATAGTTGTGTTATAAAGTTTTGTTTTATATAAATGCTTAAATAGTTTATTATTGTATACTAAAATTAGTTTTTTAATCGGTTTTTAAAACGATTTTTTAAAATTATTAAATGTAGTAAAAAAGGTTATATTGTTGGTGTATAATCAGAGTTATCAGTTTTAGTTACAAAACAACTGCAAAGTAATGGTTAATGCTACACCGTTAATCAAGGACGTCATAATATTATTACCAGGCATATATTAAACATGAAGAATGAAATAGATATTATGATTATTACGCTGATTGATAAAAATGTTTATCCCCCAACGTAGTAACTACTGTTATCACATGATAATGCATTTGAAAACTGGTTTTAATAAACGAAACGATTTTGGTTTTTTAAACTTGAATAAAGAAAAAAAGTAGAATCTTTTCCAGAAAACATTACGAGAAAAATATGTTTATTTTATTTAACTTTATAGCTCACTATTTGCATTTAGGTATGCGTTTATGCATTGTTGGTGATGCACATAAAACTGTGAATATTGCAGTTTTTTCACATCCATGACATCAAATCATTGTGTCATTTTAATGGATTTCGATTCCCTAAGATTAATATTGATCATAAAAGTAACTTATCAATACAAGATTAGATTTTTCCTGTATTTGACAAATTATTGTTTGGGACGTTCAATATTCCAATTTATATAAATGACCGTATAAAATTAAAAATTAATTAATTAAAAATTAGGCATATTATTATGTTACGTTTAAATAATTCGTATATAATTTTATTACTCGATATTCATCAGATTTACCGTAAATTTAAAATTTTTACGTCTTCTTAATTTCATAAATGCAACCCGCCTACGAATTTAAGACATAATTAATTAATGTTTTATAAATGCCATTGCCCGATTTGCATTATACTGAAAACTTTTTATCGTCATCAGATTCAGTTAGGTACTTATAAAATACTTATTTTATGTTGTTGATAGATTCAAATTCAGAATTCAATTTTATATAATAATCAAATGAGGAAAACGTGGTTTAAAATTAATAATATTCGCATCTGGACGATAATATCCGAATGACGACTAATCAATGAACGTTATATTTTTGTAGTTATGAGTATTCCTAGATTTTTATTTGTATTATTTGCAAAGACGAATTATAGGGGTAAACATCGCGTAACGCAATAAAAGTAATTTCATTACATTATTTTTCCCCGCACCACCTCTCTAATATTCCTACACAAAAAGTAGCATCTTTTATAATTGAATTGACTGTATGGTGACAAAACTTACACGCGGCAGTGTGCAAGCGAAATGAAACGAGATTATTTTGTGTAAATATTTTCTTATACATACTGTCGTATATATACGTATACATTATTGTGCGGATAAGCCATTGGAAATAACATTTCGACAAAATACGTATAAAGATTATTTTTCTACTATTATATCTATTCGTATAATAAACATGCTTTGATAATTTTGTTCAACTAAATTAATATAGTATTTATTGTCTCGGCATACAATTTTGGTCCGTGCAGGAAAGACGGACTCGAGTAAATTTTATATTGTTTCTATAATAAGCAAATTAAATTTTTAAAATTGCCAAATGACATACACTTAACTGTGTAGTATTACTAAATGTCTAAATTTTTAAATAACCTAACCTAAATATGGTTTCTTAAAATGGTATAAGCCACGCAATGAAAACTTGTTATAACAAATTTTAAGGAATCAAGAGATTTCTTTCGTTACAGAGAGTTTTTAAAATTGGTTTATAAAGCAAACCAATATTATAAAGTAATTTTCATGTTACATAGATTTATTCGTTAAAAAGAGTTTTGCTATAAAAAATGTTCACTGTAATTATATTCGAGAATACACACGATTATTCCAGTTGGCTAAAAAATAAAATACAATAAATTATCTAAGACAATATTATAAAATAAAACACTGAAAATAAGTTATTTATTCATTGGATCTAAAGGATATACAAAGGTATAACTTATTTAATACGGTATAGAAGTTAATGTATTTTATAATATACTTATCGTATATAATATAGAACAAAGTTTGTTCAATACAGTTAGTTCAAAAAGTCGACCATGAGAAATTTAAAATCACCAAAGAACTGAACATTCCAAAAAATACATTATTTTCAATTATAAAACAGAAAGATAAATTGTTGTCGTTAAATAATTGAATAATTAATTATACATTAAATATTGTAGTTCATTAATATGTATTTAGCATGTGTATTTTTATGCATTCAAATGTTTAATTATTTAAATATTAAAAAAAAAAAGCATGATATGTCGAATTTTTTGATATCTCTGTACTTTTTCCTGTTTTCCTAGTTATTCGACATAATGATAATTAACTGTATTTTAATATATTATGTTACGTACCAGGTACCAGGTAACATAATAGTAAAATTAAATACAATTTGGCATTTAGGTTAAAATTAAAGTTTAAACATGAATTATTATACGATTTCATAAGGATAAAAATCTGTATGCCGAGACTGATAATAAAATGAAAATTAAACGATCAAACATAATGATAATATTAGTAATTGATATACTATAATTTTGGCCTATTTTATGTTTTATTAGTACCTATAGTCGTATACATAGCTAGGTTTTTTTCTGTGTTTCGAAACGAATTTCAATAAAAATTTCAAAATCTAAAAAAAAACATTATTTATAATTTGCAACTTTAAAGGTCGTTTACAACTTTAAATTGTTGAATAATTTTAGTTGCAAGATGTTGTTTCAGATATATCATGGGACACTGAGTCGAGCTATTCTTGTGTTATACCACTCCTTTATTGTGTTTGCACAGTATTTAATTAGAAAATAATTTTTTTTAAGATCAGCCTGTGACTGGTACTAGGATCACACAAATTAAAAGTTTAAATATATTTGAGAAACTATTATATTTTTATTATTGTTGTAGCTTTGGAACACATTTTATTTTTTCAATCACATTAAGTAAAGTTCAATTTTAAGAATCTTGACACGACTCACAAAACGTGCACCTTCAAAACATTTTACACCATATTTTTAATGGTTGTTTTTTTTCTTACAAGGTGAAAGTAAAATCTTGTCATAAGAAATCGTTAACGTTTTGAGAAATATAAGAATTTCGTAGCAAAAAAAAAAAAAACACCTGCGCAAATACATGTAATGTTGTTACAATTTACATTATATTAGTATTATGTACATCGCTAGACTATTATTAGTATTCATGCAGGGGAAGTGTTTTTTGAGGGGTTATCGCTGCTGCCGTTGGTGGCATCGGAATCTGACAAATTGTTAAGTATAATAAACCTGCATCACGACCTCATACGACCTCCCACCCTTCTCCCCAAACCCTTGGGTTTCAAGAATCGGTAAGACGGTGGTGGTTTACACACGTGTGTAGTGCGCGTAGAGAAAAATTGGATCCAAGTCGCGTTGTTCGTGGAGTATAAAATATGGGGTCGAAGACGTGAGTAGGTGCGTAGAGGTTCTCCACACGATTGATGGCCGAGACACTGAGATATTAATAACTTTATACACACACGTAGTACCTGCCTCACGTCTATCTACTCGAAATCAGCGGTGGCGCAGCTAACAGACAACCCGAACGCGTTTTCTCGGTACATCACACCCGGTAGCTGCACGTGCGCACCTATCCGAAGAATTTCGCCGCT